ATGTGACTAAAGCATAACTATCCACATAATCAGATTATTTCATTCCAACCTTTCCACCACCTGTCAGGGACAAGATTGTCCACGGAAAGTGCTTACCCTATTTCATAGCAGATATATATTTTACAAGGTTCTCCTTTGCAAGAAGGCACACGTACAGACCCATGTTAAGTTTGGGAAATGTTGCAAGGCAACCAAGGCAACAAGAAGAAGAAGTAAATATAAGTCATGCAGTTTTTCTTGATTTGTGATTTATATTCTGTCTCTATCAATTAAAATGACCATAGAAATTAGAGAATGTCCGTTTCTTTTTAAACAAACTTTTACATTCAGCAGGGGATCAAACAATTGCCCCACCCACTGTATATAGCAAGTATTTTAGAGTCAAGGTTTTATGTCTGATAACTAAATCCTGGCCCAAATAGGGTTGTGCAACAAACCAACATCAGAATGGCTGAAAAGGAAAAGAATCAAGGTTTTGCAAACCTAAGTAAACTTAAGCAACACCATAAAGAAACATGGTTCAAAGTTCCCCGAGAACAATGTGACAGACTGATAAAGGCAATTACTTTAAGTTACAGCTGCTTGAAAGTTGTTGTAAAGGTGCTGAACCATGGGGTGTACTTAGTTTTCCACAGGAAAGGCAACTGACAATTTTTGGAGGGTAAAAAGAGTTAAATTCAAAATGTATCAAGAAAAAGCAAAACTCAACCATGTACTTAAAAAAGAGAGAAAACTTTAAGAAAAATCCAAAACATATTGAACCTTAAAGATCCAAATAAATTCCCTTCCCATTGTTGCTGAGCCTTATATTTCTTTGGTAACTGAACTGATATCATATTGAAATATTACTCATCCCATCAACCCCAAGACTATCATAATGTCCCTGATTGTTTCTCCAAGAATGTATAAATCATGATCACTCATGGTTCAGATTGTTTGGATTAGGGTTGAAGTCAAAGTGAAGTTTAGTGAGAAATGAATGCTTAATAATGCCTGAGGTGGGAAATTGTATTTCTGAAATATGTAAGTAATCATCTACTGGACTAAGACATTAGAGAAATAATTATTATAGGTCTTTTTTTTTTCCAAAACAGGTCCAACAGGAGGCTGTCTGGGAGAATCACCCAGAAGCAGTTTGCTCTTTGTTTTAGTCATCGTAAAACAGGAGTGGTGTAGGAAAGCAAACAAAACAGCAACAGAAGCATGGATATAAATATCAGCTCAAATCCCTGCATCAGAAAACTGCGCTAGGCACCAAAAGTAAAAGATTTTACAGAAAAACATATCACGATATATTCTGTTAACGTGATACTTTTGAAAATGGTCAAAGTGGAACTAATTATGTCATTTAGTCCAGTAATTCTCTGCCCCTCCTATATTTTTGTAAATTTTCTCAAAGACTGGAAAGGATTATTATATGTGCAAGTACAGCAGAATTCAATGAAAAATATTTTAAAATCACAACTTTAGTTTGTAACTTCTGTTCCAATCAGTTTAGGATAAATGCCGTTTTTCTTTTTTTTAGCAATCATTGTGTTTTTCCTCTGACACTGATATTTGTCTTTAAATACACTAAATTAATTGTTATTGACAAATACAATAACCCACAATAATTCTTTCATTCTTAACAACAATCATATTAACATAAAACCAGGTTTGCCAGTTACATACTTACTGTTATATCTGGTAGTTGCTGTGTGTGTATATTCAGTTATATAAATTCAATCAAGGATTTATTGTAACCATGGTGATACCATTTTTCAAGGTTTAGGAATAAGTTTGAACTGCTGGTGTCGCCAAAATACCCCAAAAGCAAAGAAAGCATTACTTAGCCATTAGCATCATTACAATGAATGAGTAAATGATATTTGGTCCACATGAAATCTGAAACATAAGAAAGACATTGAAAGAAATGATTAGGAAAGCTCATCCATTTTCATTGTTTTCTTTAACACATTTTGTTGCCTTTAGGCTTTTTGATGCCCCACACTGACTATTCCAAGATCTGGTGTCACATATTTACTTCATCTCCTCACAAAATTCTCTTTTCTTTTTCCCTTTCAGTGCTGAGTTTTTAACAAACTCACCCATTCCTCTACAAGAAGAGGAAAACTATTAACTGTAAACTGCTGCTCGTCTGTCTCTGCTGATGGGATTCACCGTAGAAACTGGGAGGGAGATAGAGAGAAAGAGAAGAACAACAATGGTGTTCACAGTTCCATCATCACATGCAACCTAATGGAGAAAGTGGCTGTTAGTAGATGTAAGCCATATTAACTTGGAAGACCAAACTATTTCACATCCTCTGAACTGATTTCCAGAGCGAATGGCTACATAGATTCTCTCAGCTGAGCTGCCAGAGGGCTTCCTGCCCGATGGTCTTGTATGTGGAAACCTCGTGTCTTCTGGATGTCTTCGGTGTTTTAGTCACAATTTTATGTAATTTAGTTGTCATATTGCTTTACTTACCTTTTTTTTTCAAGAGACTGCATAAACTGCGACTGATTCCCAGGAATCATCCATTATTTCGGCACTCAAAGCACTATGCAAGGTGAGGGAGTCTATCACGATGTCCAGCGACTGCTAGGCTGCCCTGTTAATCTCAGCTGAGAAACAGCAAGCTGAAGTCAATTCATACATATCAGAAAACAGCAGCTTTCACACTTATATGCACATCACACAGTCATTTATGTTTTATACTAGCTGAATCTCCCAGGAGGCATCGAGACAACATCTGGGGACTTGAAATTCAGCAAGACATCAGCATGTTAGTTCGGATGATGTAACCCAAAGACTACAGACACTTGGATGGATGCATTAGTTGAGATGAACAGAAACACTCAAAGGCACTAAACTGGCCATAAGGTCACATGGCTGTCTTCAGGCATCACTGATGACAGCCATGGGATAGGCCCTCTTTCTCACTTGTTCCTTCTTGAGATTTTATGGTATCTTACCCGAGTACCCCCGCCACCCTTAACTGCATCTCTGCATTGTTATTGCTCCTCCCCTTTAGAAAATCTGCATGGAAATCTGTATTAATGGGGGGAGGGGGGCATAGTTAATTTTTCTTTCAGCATTGTTAGTGTAATGGTAGCATCACTATCATCCAAGATACGTTTTAACTACTTACTGCTAAGGAGCTAAGAAAACATGGTGGAGGAGGATGAGCACCCTCCTCCCAGAGAAAAAGGAGACCATACACACCATATCTGTTTGGAGGTGTGAAACTGAGCAGCCAAACATATTTTACAAACTATTTGAGGGACAAAAAATGGCAGTGATTGCAAATTAGAAATTCATTTTTCTGACATTGTTTATCAGCATGAATAATGTGCATGACTTTTGCAAGTCACTCTTTTCTCTCATGAATAACAGGGCTAGAAACTGGTTTTTTGTGTGTGTGTGTGTGAAAATGTAATAATGTTATGTTATATGCAATAGAATGCGTACAGATAAGTGTGTAGGAATAACGATTTCATCCATTTGATTAACATGGTAAAACACCATTAAGAAAAAAAAGGTGAACCCTGTGTAGTTCTCTTTAAGATGTCTTAGGACACCCAATAATATAGCTTTCTTAAATCCAAGAGGAGTCCTCTTCAACTTTTGCAAGTATTTATTCTGCTATTGCTTCAACCTTTCACCTGGCTGCTATTCTGCCTTTTTCTTATTATTACTATCTCTTCTTCTTATTGAAGCCTCTTAGTAGAGTCCCTAGCTGTTAATCTCTACAATCACTGCTGTTTCCGGACTGAAAGTTGTCCATTCAAAGATGTCATTATCCTGTGCAGTCAAACTGAAAAGGTTACGTTGTTCTTTTAGTTACTTTGTCCTTGACCTAAATATTGCTTCCAAGGTCTTGAGGACCTTCCAAAGAACCATCAGAGGTGTGGGGTTCAGGTTACTTCAGGAGAAGGTCTACTGTTGCTTTATTTGTTCGTTTGTACATACTCTCAAAGTAATCCAAGCTGATCAGATGCCTTCATCAGATGAAAAGGTACACAATGCCTCACACTTGATGAGGGGGACAGTCTGACAGATACTGAAAGATGTCATCTGCAGATGTTTGATTTCATGGTGTAGCTTGGACAAATGACTCTTTAAGAGAAATACACAACCCCATCATCACTGTTCGGTATATTTGGTGTATCTTTTTGTCTTGATCTGGAATAACCTCTTTCTTTAATTTTCACAATGGTTCAGGGACAAAAAGAAAAAGAAATACCTTGGTGGAGTTTCTCAAGTTGCATATTTGAATATTTGTTGGCTGAATGAAATATGTAATCACTACATTTATATTACTCTTATCCATGAGCCCATTTCATAAAACTTATACCTGGAGTTTCCATAGTTTTGGAAAAAAACAGCCTGCAAAGGTGCTGGCTACTAATGACCTCGCCTGATGAGTCCATTTATGATCTCTTTAGTAGGCTGTCATAGCAAATAGTGTACCAGCTGAAAAATTAGGCTACAAGTTAATAAGTAAAAAGAGGTTGGGAAAACTGTTGTTTGAAATATTTAAAGAGAATTGTGCCAAAATACACTATATGAGTCAAACAAAGTCTGGTGAAACACTGTAGGAGCAGAGTATGCACAAGTGTAAGACATGCTCCTCTGACAGATAGAAAAAAGATTATTATAAGAAATATGTTTGTTAAATTATCTGGATTTTAATTGTGCCTCTCATTTTTATACTGTTTCATTCATATGAATTGCTCTGTGTTGTCTCTATTATACATTGATTTTTGTTCATGATGCTGGGTAAATGGACTGGTTCATACGTATAGCGCTTTTCTATTCGAGCACTCAGAGCGCTTTATACAGCATGCCTCATTCACCTGATAACAGAAGCTATTTTTCCCATGCCCAAGTGTTTTAATCTAACATTCACTCACATTCACACTCTGATCGATGCAGTGAAGAGCAAGTTGGGGTTATCATCTCACCCAAGTATATCTGAAATGCAGGCTAGAGCAGCCAGGGTTTGAATCTCCCGATTAGTCGATGACCTGCTCCACCTCCTGAGCTGCATTACATTATTATTAGAATCTCTTATTTCATGAACGTCAAAGAAATGACAAAAAAGGCAACTACAAAGTCGTACAAAACAACTAAAGAGAGATTTTAATAACTAAAAAGACAAATAGAACACCCCTTACCCACAAATAGATCCAGAGAGTCTACAGTGATGATGATAATGACTACAATGACAGTTGGAGGCTCATAATAACTGTAAAGAGATTAAAAATCACCTCAAGAGACAAAACAGAACTAAAAACAACTAAAAAAGAGACAATAAATAAAGTTAAAAATATCAGTGAGAGGCCCAAAACTTTAACAGAAGAAAAAGACGACCATGTTCATCTTCTTATTTTCTTTAAAGTGTCTGACTGCATTCTGACTGGGGCAGATGGAGGGGTAGGAGTGGGCTTTTACATGGCGATGCCTGAGGCCTCAAATTCTGTGAGTAGATTTTTTATTCTATGGCAGACATACAGTAGGACACCAAACGTCAAATCAAAACATAATGAAAAACATGTTTCCTATGAAAAAAGTCAAAAATGAAACATTTGAAAAAATCTGCTTATTTGAAGGCAAGCAAGCACTTTCAGCTGAAGTCGCTAAACTCACCTGTCTGCTTATATAAGAGCCACAGAGCTAAAATTAGAGGCCACGTAGAAAAAAAAGATTGATCGTTATCCTGAGAGATTTGAATTTATGTACTATATCTTTAGATTATTGCTCTCCGTGCCTTGCTACTCAATAGCAAGACTCTGCTTTGGAAATACTGCTGTGATATTTAGGATTAATAAAAATGTATGTATCTATCCATTTAAACAATACATTTATCATTTATTGCTTAGCAGCCATGGTAGCTGAAGCTGAGGTTATGGATGATGATAACAATATGTTTTATAATAAATGTTACTTTTTTCAACATAATTTATGGTGATTCTTAATTTTGGTGGTAACCCAGGGTATCTCAGGTATATAGTATTCTATCAAAACATCAGGATGTTAGGATGCTGCAGTACTAAATCTGAGGAATTCAGTGAGTACATGTGGCTCTGTGGAAGTTAACTTGGAGGCTTGAAGTAGATTTTTCTGACTAAACTCAATGCGCTAGCATCTCTGACTTTAGTGATATTGCATGGGATAAGAATTGGTTCCAGTGTTTTAGATCAGTTGTTTGCTTAACACTGTATATTACTTCAGCTTCAGCCGTGTCAAAATGAACAAGAGGATTTTATGTACTGTATTGTAGCTACACCAAGACAAACATCCATCCTTTAGTTTTTAAAACTTATGCCAATTGTACTCACTGGAGACGTGATCTGATGTTTTATTTGAAGTCTTGGAATAGTTTTGATTCTATTCCAAAACTAACACAAGTCCAAAAACTGCATAATGGGTCTTTGACGAGTAAAATTTGTTGTGATATTTGGTTCTCTGACATCTTCAGTTTGTGAATATTTTAAATTTTTGCTTTTCGGTGTTTCCAAAATGATGTCTAATCCATACACGTATGAAAAAATGCTTCGGAAGGTTCTGGGACATGAACACAAACCTGTATCACAGTGAGCTTTACCCCATCACCTCATCACCATCGCCAACCACTCCCATAATTCATCAGCCATGTTGTGTCAACCAGGCCACCACTTGTCCACTAACCCACTTAAAAACATAATGAAGCATTAAAAGCCAGTAAAGACTGTTAGATTGTAGAAACACGTAGGAAGTTCTTAGGATAAAGTAATAATGGAACAGGGCTCCCTGGTTTATGTTATTTTTCAGGATTTCCAGTTATGTACATATGTAGGTGTTAAGGTGTTTGTGTATAAAACATGTACGACAGGAATGCTTTGCAGACTGAACTAGACAATGTCCCTGTGCCCAGATGGACCACTAACTAGCCAATAGTGCTGCTTTTGCTTTAAACCCAAACCATAATGAATTTTGTAGCCTATACAAGTATTTTAAGTAGTTAGCTAAGTCAGGTTTTCGGTTAGTTAATCCAGCAGGGCTGAGACATGGGTTAAAATTTCAATGTGTAGTGTACATTTGGCCCCATCCTAGAAGAACACAAAATTAGAAAGTGAGTGGTGTGACAGGGCTCAGGTGTGGTAAAAGGTCCTGTGTGCAAAAGTTTAACCCATGTAGAGCAGAAGTTTACATAAATATTTTTCATATTTTAGGCTGAGCTAGCAGGATTATTAAGACAGTTTAGGTCTGGACTAGATAAACTTTTCTTTTTGCAACACTGTGGTGAAACTCCTTTTGCTTGTCTCACCAAGTCTAACCGATATACATGACTTTCATGATCTGAATTCAGATTACGAGTGCCAACACTGAGAAAACATGGATAGCTTTAGATTCTAAATTCTCTTCATTTCAGTATGGTTAATGAGTGTAGCCAGTCTGACATCCAGTCTTCCATGGAAATGAGAATTAACGAGGTTGCTGACATGTTTCTAAAAAGTAGCAAAGTGTTATAACAAATAAACAAAGAAATATCACCCTTATCAGTTTTGGAGGATTAGGTTACTTGAAAGCATCCTTTGGCTAGTTCAAAAAGTATCACGAATTAAGTGTGCAAGAGAAGAAGTACAAAGTCAAATAAAAGTCTATGTTGAGGGAAAGGCAAATAGGTTCTATGTTGGCCTGGTCAGTCAAAAGATCATATGACAAGATGAAGACATGTTCATTCCAAAATCTTCATTGTGGTGGTTTCTCTTTTCTGAAGCATTAAAATATTGGTGTCTGTGACACTCTGAGAACTGGGGGTGTCGTGTACACCATGTAGCTTACAGGCTTGTTATAAATTCATAGGCCTAATAAAAGACAGTATCAGGATACAATAGTGATTTAGGTTTTTTTGCAAACAGATCTACAGCTTACCAGCAAACTGATAAGACACCGGCAGTTCTGACAGTCAGTAAAGTCAATACACCATCACCACTTCCAAAGCTAATTGCTTGATTGCTCACAGGATATTTAGTGAATTTTGGCTAGCTCTCCAAGTCTGGGTAAAGTGATCTGAAATTATATGTGGGTGTTGTAAGGAACAAAATTAGATTTTATATTCAAACGATCTGACTAGCTAGAATTGATGTAGCATTTTTGTACACTGGCTGTATTAACTGGTCTAGCTTTATTAGATTTTTTTTTTTAATAAACTGGTAAAAACAGACTTACCATGGTTAGTTATTCTGTCCTAGTGCTATTAGGCTATATTATTTGGATAATTAAGTCCACTAGCTTAAAACCATAAACAGTGATAAAAAAGAAATAGACTTTTATGCTTAGCATGGAGAACTTTTTGTGTCAGTTTTGGCATGTTAAGGTCTAAAACTTCAACCCATATTTTCTGCAGCAACATCTCCATTCCAGGCGCCTTGCCTTTCCTCTATCTTAAACGTCTTCTCCTCTTTGTTCTCTTTCTTTCCTGATGCCTTCCTTCAGTTACTTTAAAGAAGAAGCTTTTTTTTTCTTTTTGCATCCCTTGTTCCTGTATTTTTGTATTATATTTTTGGAGGTTAATTCCAAATGCATGCATGAGAAACATCAAAATAATGACGTTAACATAGTGTGAATGACCTAGTGAAGGGAAGCCTCCCCTCCTTTGACAGAAAGCAGTCCTATTTTCTTACTTTTTGTGTCAGATTTTAAAAGAAATTTTATAACCAACAAATAATATAATACTGTAATTTATAAGCCACAGAGGCAGCAGCACTATCTGAAGGCAAATATGGTTTAGATGGTTGATGGACCTAATTCAGAAGTCTCTGAACATGAAAGTACAAAAAAATAAAGTCAGTGTCTCTTTTGGTAGGGTGGACTCTGTCACAAAACTCTGTGTTTCTGTCCTCATGATGAGACATCAGCAGCTAAAATACTATTACTATTTAAAGAACTGCATCTGCTTTAGGTCGTTTTAGTTCCACTTTTCTGTTTTTTTGTTTTTTGTTTTTTTGCTTTTTTGTCGATAGTGAAAAGGCAGAGCTAAGAAAGATGACTGCAACAGAAGGATGAGAGGCTTCCCTACATGAATGAATTAGTTACACTCTAAAAAGCTGATCTTGGATCTGATTTTGTTGTCACTGCAATGGAAAGAGAAAAAGAATCAAGAACTGTATAAAATATATCTGAATGGAATGTTAATTATTTACCTTTTTCTAGTTTTGAAACATGTAAAAGAACAAAGGTGAAACTATGAAAATTCAACATTTGTGAAAAAAAAAACTGCTGTCAAACAGTGTGAATGCTGTGAATGCTGATTTGCCTGAGCAGCTCTCCTTCCGAATTGATAGATCATCCTTTAAAAAAGAATAATACTAAAAACAAAATAACAATAAAAAAAATAATTTAAAAAAGTTAATAAAAGAATTAAAAGCAAATGCCAAAATTTTTTACATTTGTCCTGTTTTTTGTTTTTCTTAGTGATTATTTGTCATTCCCGCACACATCTTCATGTCACATTTTACAGCATAATGTGTAGATACAAGATTGCCATAGCCACTGTGCTGTCACCCGTTTGCTTTTTGGACACTATATTTTAGAACTTTAGCGTTCTGGCTGCTTTCATGTTCGTTTTTTGGACCCAAAACAAATAACACCAATAAGAAAAGTAGTCTAAAGGTCCACTACAAAGATGAGGCCTAGCAGACAGCAGCTGTAGCTGGTTTCGGGACAATTGCCAAGCAAAGACTCACAGCCTTGGCCAGCCACTTGAAGAGGTATATAAATCAGCTGCACTCTAATGAGCCTGCCAAGGTGTACTCTCAGTGGCATGAAAAAAAAGACTGGAGCCGGAGCAATATTTGAAGAGCATATGGGTGAAGTATGCAACCAATAACAGCAATGCTCAGTGGCTTGTGAATCTATGAGCAGACCACAGCAACCTCCCAGTGAGCATCACACTGGCTGACATCCAGGAAAGGGTCTCCAGTATGAAGAGTTGGACAGCACTAGACCCTGATATGATGCACACCTACTTGCAGAAGAAGCTGACTGCACTTCATGAGTGCATGGCTGCACAAATGAACCAGCTGCTAGTAGATTCGATACCCAGAATGGCTAACTGATTGCTGGACAGTCCTGATCCCAGATGATCCCCACAGGTCCCATCCAACTATCAGCCAATAACCTGCCTCAGTACAACATGAAAGCTCCTATCAGGCATTATAGTGGCTGAGGTGAACAGGCATATGGCTCAGTACATGAGCGGGG